GCAAAAAGTGTAAAGTAGAATTTCCAGAAGCTCTAGCTGCTGTTCATTGTGTTCCCAAAAAAAGCCTCTTAGAATGCAAGTGTGTTACAACATGGGGGGGGGGGGAAAAAAAAATTGGGGGTGGAATATCTTAATGGGGAATTTCTTTTATTCCTTTTAATTATATTTTTAGCACTGTAAGCTTAGCTCCCTTAACATTGAAATGCCAAAATTCCTAGACTGAAAGATCATAGGTATAATAATCATATGTACTTTGAATTTAAACCTATGAGAACTACAGGCAAAAGTGATCAGTTTGCTCTCAAAGTGTTATTTGCATTTGTAATTGAGCACTTGTGCACACTAGGGCAGATCTGTCAAGGGAAATAACCCTTTAACCACAGTCACTCCTGAGGGCATCTAAGAGGAGAGGTTATAGTCAGCCTTCTGTGCTTACCACGCTTGGACCCAGCCCATCTACTAAGTACTATTCTGTGCAGAAAACAGTTACAAAGAGCAAAACTTTTTCTGCAGTCTTTCTTAGTATTCATGTGTGAGTGCACTAGCAGCAGTTCCATTTTAACATTAGTTAACAGAATTTAAATGGTACTGGTTAAAGGACCTCTAAGGTGGTATAAATATTGTTCCAAGATGTCTGTGCATAAATCTAGTGGAGATAGGTGTTCATAAGAGCTACTGGTTTATGATCAGGCACAAAATCTAGTTCTATATAAGACATTCCCAGGGACTAAGCATGACTGAAAACAGTCCTTCAGTACAAACGTGTTACTCAGAAAGAGAGATTATGTTAAGCCTTGAGTCAAAAAACAAGCCTAAATCCTTGCACAAGTTTTTGTGCTTACTCAGACATCAGTGTTTAACGAGGAATGTCATATCCAAGCAAGGCAAGTCTGCCATTGGTGCATTGGGTCACATTTGTGCCCAAAGACAGCATCAGTTGGCCATAGAGCTTAGTGCAATGGTTCCTTAAAAAGGGAGAATCAGACCAAGAGCCTAATACAAACTACATCTCATTGTGCAAAGAAAAGGTACCTAAAAATGACCCTTTTTACTCACTCCTGCAGTGAGCAGTGTTCCTGCTTGCACTCAGTGCAGTTCATTACACTCAGCATGTGCGTGTTTCCCCTCCGAGGTCCGCGGTGATTAAAGCACAATTGAAGTGCTGCATGTGATTTGATTCTGCATTACACCACACGTCAGAAAAGGATTAAAAATAAGCTCTTGGAGTACAGATTATGTGAAGCATCATGCAAGATGTGACAGGAGCATTAATAAATCCAACTCTCAGTGAATAAATTGGGACAGTTTAGCCACAAATCTGTATTTTGTTTTCCAATGGATGGGTATTTGTCAGCAAGACTTAAATGCATAAGTCATTTTTTTCAAATGGGTAAAGTTATGTTTTAGTAAACAGCAGTAAGCACTGGTTGTTGAACGTGTATACACCACTACTTGAAAAAATTGGCTTATTAGGAAGTACCAGAAATGTATTATCTTTAGTACAAATACTGAAGACATGGGCTTGTTTATGCCATCACACTGGCCCAGGTACTTCCCTGGCAGATAGATTGCCTTTCTGCAATGTCTGGAGAGCAAAGTGTACACTATTAACATTACAGGATCCTTGGTTTTCTTATGTAGTCAGTTGTTTGAAATCCATTCAGCAACACAGCTGAGTAGCTTTATTTCATTGCAGCATAATTTTTGATTTTTATATAATGGATGGTTTGCAGCCAACACAGCCATCTGTTCACAGGGAAATTGCGCAAAACAGAAGATGCACTTGCCCTAGTGATAGATCCTTGTGTTATCCATGGCATGGATCGGATCCAGGGCTGCACTACCAGGTGAGAAGCACAGCTCCTTGCTTACCATGCAGCACCACCCCCCTGCAAAGGCAGAGTAAGACACAGCCCATGTGTTGCGGTTCCCACCCACATCAGGTTTCTCATTTGAGCTGGGAGACACACTGGAAAACAAATCAAATCCCTTCTAATATTGCTCCATGATGCAATATCAATAAGGTTATAAACACCCCCAGCAACAGCTGTGTGCACACCACAACAGCCACATACAGTGGTTTTTGCTTGTCATACCTCCCCTGGCACAGCAGTGCAGCATGGCTTTTATTTTCTCAAAAGGAGCCTTGAGGAGGCTCCCAAGAAAGTAGCAGAGAGGCTGGGACTGAAAAGACCTTTGTCTCCAACCATCACACATCCCTGAATAAAAAACTCTAGAACAATTTCCTAGCAGCTTTTCCATCTACTAATAACCTATTAGCATGCTTCAGCTTTGGAGCATAAAGCTGATGGAGCAGGAGAGAGCCCGGGCAGGAACCCCAGAGCATCAGGACCTGCCTCAGAGCCCAGCTCCACCTGCCCTGTGGCCCCAAGCTGGGATAGCAGAGTCAAAAGAGTCGTCCTCATTTTCTGAAGAGAAAACGTGTCTATGTACAAACTAAACCACAAATTGTGACTCAAGCCTGGGGAAGCCTCTGCAGACTTCTAGCAGAAGGTGCAAGTCCTTGTTTTGTTCCTTTGGCTCCTGCCATGTGTGTTCCCTTAGAAAAACATTTGGAATAACCTCATTAGCTTTATGTATTAATTGTTCATATGGTCATTAATAACCAGGTTGGATTTCTCTTTGCTTCAGTGAGGGTTTTAGGGTGGATGTTTTAGCAGCTCAGTTTTATCAAGCGGTTTTGCAGTTTGCTCCACACACCTCACCTTTGTTTCTGCAGAAGCAGCCAGCCCTCAGCTTTAGCCCTGCACACACTCCTAATTTTGGCCTTTTCTGTGCATGGGTCTCTTTAGTGTAAAGTCTCTTGAGCATACATGAGGGACAGAGAGAGGTGACATCCTTTCCCAGCAACCAGAACGCACAGGTCACCCCCCCAACACCAAAACAAACCCTTTTGCTTTTCAGATGCACTCTTTACTCACCTTCAAACCTTCTCCAGATTTATCATTGGACTTCTCAGAAGCAGATGACAGCTGTGAGCTTGCCAGTCATTCTGTAGTTTCCAAAAGCAGCATTACTCCCTGATTAAAGAGCAGAGATCCTCTGAGGGAGCCAGTACCAAGGAGCCGTGATCTGCAAGCTGGCAGGGAGACAGAGCCCTAAGATCTCTCCCCTTCCTTTTGCCCTTTTATAACCTCCCAGCCTTCCCCCAGCTGCCCCATCCAGCCCCCCCCTCCAGGTGATTTCAATCCCCCGGGTGACATCTGTCCTGGAGAAGGGGACATTTCAGCGGTCAGCTGTTTCACATAATCAAGTGATGTAGCCTAACCCTGTACCCGAGGCACTTCAGCAGTCTGTAGGCATTTTTTGTGTCCTGGATGAAGGTGACAGGATGGTGAATACCCCTCTTCTAACGGCAGCTCACAGCCAGACGAATGCACTGAATTGACAATTTGAAGAATTAATTTCAGCTACCGACACTATGCTGACAGCCAGCCTGAAAGCTGAGTGTAGGAAGAGCCCTAGATGCTACAGTTAACCACTGTGGCCTTTGGAATTTTTTTTTTTTTTTTGTTATGATACCCTCAGTCCTTTGCAAGGCACCTAAATGTTACCTGTGGTGAAGAGGCACCATTGGGTGGGACCTGGGCAGTGGGGATGGGATGGCAGGGGGTACCCCACAGCTTCTCCCCCTGTGATGCCTTCCCAGCCTCGCTCGGTGCCTCCCTGTGGGCCAGAGGAAGGAATGGAAACTGAGTTGAACCCTCGCTAACGCCTGGCCATGACACAAAATCTGGTGTGGACGTTATTCCTGCATTCTCTTAGAAAAGAAGCGATTGTGGGCAGTTTGTCCTGGGACCCTGCCACTGGGTGTTAGCACTGTGAGAGAAAGCGTTTTACGCTCAAACTCCAGCCCCAGGCGTTTCCAGCTGCCAGGTACAGGTTTACTCAGGGGCTTGGGGAGGCTGTCCCCCCTTTTTCCCATCCCCGTGGGAGATGCGGGGTCCCCATCAGGCTGCCTGGTCCTGCCCCTGCCCCCTGACTGCTTGCTGTGCCTTGCCCCCAGATACAGCTGCTCCTGTGTATTTAAATAAATTGGATTAAGTATAAGGAAAAGGGGCTGGGAGGTGAGGGAATTCAGTTTGGATGTTTTTTTCTTTTTTTAATGGCATGTGGAATTGCTGTGTGAGATCCTCAACTGGCGTGCAGACAAGTGTTTTGTAAACTCAGAGTACATGCAGCCTTTGGTTGTGCTAAATGCAGGGGACAAAAATCAAGAACCATATAAGCCACTGTCCAAACCATCTGTTCAAGTCCTCTGCCTTTCATTTCTGTGGAGCAGAACATAAATTCATTATTAAAATAGCTTGGCTGTGCACAGCAGCTGCTATAATTGCAAAGTTATGCAACTTTAAATGGCAAATTTGGAAATAGTTTAAAGCAAGAAATTGAGCAGTTTTGGTAGAAAGGATTTTACAAACCTAACATGAATAGAAGTGCTTTTCTAGCTATATTTTCAGCATTTCAGGGAAAAAAAAAAATCTTACTTACAGTTCACACAATACAGAAAAGTCAAATTGAATGCAGGAAGAACTGGGGAGAAGGTGTTAGGCTGGGACAGACCAGGGCTGGGCATGAGTACTGCACACTGCTGGTGGGAGGCAGCAAGCCCTCCGTGCCTCAGTTTCCCCACTGAAATACAGGAGACCGTGAAGCATGGCATGAAGCAAAGTTATTGAGAGCCTGATTCTGTGTGTATAGAATTGCATTACAAGCAAAGCCTCTGCTGTTCTGTTCTGTTTCTTCCTCATATCTTCCCCCTTTCTCTGTAAGTAAAAGAGTCTGATATGTGGCTATGATCTTTCCATATACAGTTTGTATACATATACGGTAAGTAATGGGTAGGAAAAAAAATCATACTTGTTTTTTAATCAGTAGATTTTCAGAGTCTAAAAGGAGAGGAAACATTTTAAGCTCATACTCTTTAATCTAGATAATGTCAGTACTGACACTCTTTTTTACCCTTTCCCTTCTCCCAGGTATCACTGTAGATAAGCACGGTTTTATTTACTTCGTTGACGGAACCATGATTCGGAAAATTGATGAGAACGGTGTGATCACAACAATAATAGGTTCGAATGGCCTCACATCAACCCAGCCATTGAGCTGTGACTCTGGAATGGACATCACTCAGGTAGACACCTGGTTTTCACGTGTTGTCATTTTTCTACACATTGTGGAGACAGATAACTTAGTTTCTTGTACAAGGATTATATATCAGAATATTCTGGATAAATCAGATAATTCTGGACTGCGCAATATAGAGTGTATCTTCCATTCACATATTATTTTAAGATGTGCCATATAACTGCAAAACTATACACCTGATTTTTTTTTTCCAGGAGATGGCATATCAATGTGTAGAGGGGCTTATATAAAGAATACATACTGACTGCTTTAGAAAGTTGCTTGCTACTCTGAGATATATCTTCTAAGGAGTTTATCACACGCGTAGAGTGCTTTCCTTTAGTCCAGCATTCAGAGTGATTTGCTTGTGCTACGAAATGGAAAAAATATATATTCTGTTTACATCTCAGTCTGTTCCAAATCGTGGAGGAGCATTACAGTAAGTAGTTACACAACAGCGGTATCGTAGTGAAGCTCCTGCATTTCAAGACATTTCTCAAAGTGCTCTTCAGTTCTTATTTCAAGAGCGGTGTACAAGAAATTGGAGTAAAAGGCACTTATCATATCTCTCGTTTATGCTAAAAAAGATACATAGATAAACGTAACAGTACTCTTGGCTAGTCAGTGAGCCACACTTACAGACAGCACAAGGAAGGTATTGGCCTTTGCCAAAAAATAATTGAATTAATCAGCTTCAAAATGGGGGAAAAGCTGTCCTTGAAAAACCCTTGAGGCATTCAAGTAACGTAGTAAAGTTATATTATGGACTGTGTATGCCAGGATCCAGTTAATTTTGCATTTCCTTTTCTCCCTGCCCTTTTCTCAGTCCTTCACAATGGGAAAATCATGGTTAAAATACTTTGCATAAGAATGGTGAGAGCTTGTTCCTTGTTTCTAAGTACACATGAAGAGTGTGGGGTCAATATTTTGGGCAGTTTTTATCAAATTTAAGAGGGACAAATGATGGAATCTGATGCTGCTGTCACAGAGGCACTTGGGGATTTTATTGCTAGAGTCAAAAGAGAAAAACGTGTCTTCGTTCCATTTCACAGGTCACTGCACCCTAAGCGTTTGCAATCGCGGGCAGAGGAACCTCAGCTTCCCTGTTCCCAGCTCTGGGATAGACAGGTCTTTGTATTCCCACTGGTCCAGTAGATGCATCATGCCTCCATGTAAAGCAGAACAGGGTTAACTGGCTTAGTTGTGCTAAACCCAAGCTTAAACTAGCCTAGTAATTGTCTTAAGATATGGCTTCTGGGCACCTTGGCCGCTGCTCTGGCACCTCCTCTTGCAGAACAGCCAGTCTTGCCGACGCCAAGCAGGATCCCACTACAGCAAGCGGCGCTCCCCAGCTGGGGCACGGACGCGGCTCCGTTGCTGCGTACCAGCTGGCAGGAGCGATGCTTCACGGAACTTAAAGCTGCCTGAAGCACATTTGCTTGCTTCTTGGATACATCTAACAGCTGCCTGGGGCATCAATAACCAGATTAGAGATCTCCGAGGTGCGGGGAGCGGTGCCAGGCGCAACGTCTGCTCCCTGCCTTCTCCTTGTGATCTGCATCTCAGGCTCTACAAGTACCTGCTTTACTGGCCGTGTGATGCGTGGCTGTGTATTTGTGTTCAAATTTTTGCTCATTTCGCCCAGTAACAAAATCTCTCACTAAATCTGAAATGGTGAATTTTGATGGTTTGCAATTGCTTTTAAGAAATGCAAATACCCTTTAGCAAATAGGTCGCAGCAGGAGGTCTGGCAAATGTGGAAATAAAGTGATTTTATTTTTTAAATTGAAATGAAATCAAAAAGGTAAACTTTGTGGGCTGAAATGAAATATGCCAAATTGGTAAATAGATTTAAATAGCCTTCAAATCCTGGGTTTTGTTAGGTTGGCTACTTGCCAGAAACAGGTTTAGTTTACCTTACTCTGCGGCGTAGTTCCAATGCCGTGGAGAAAGGGCTTCTGCAAAATCATAGATAAGAAAAAGCATGTCATAGAGCAAAGTCTTCTTCATATTGCATTCAGCTGAGGTAGGACCTTCTTTTCATAGAAGGAGAATTTTTTTTTCCCCATGAACAATCCAGGTGCTTCCACGCTGCAGCACCTACGGGAAACTAGTGCCACACATTTCTCAAAGTTTTGCAAACGCTTCAGCATTCTGGGAAATCAAGGTATGTTCTTACCACATAGATTGAGATAATCTTCAGATAAATTGCAAACTCATGCCAGTCAATAAGCTGAAAGAGGGTAGATTTAGATTAGATGTTAGGAAGAAATGTTTTCCTGTGAGGGTGGTGAGGCAGTGGCCCAGGCTGCCCAGAGAAGCTGTGGATGCCCCATCCCTGGAGGGGTTCAAGGCCAGGCTGGATGAGGCTTTGGGCAACCTGGGCTAGTGGGAGGTGTCCCTGCCCATGGCAGGGGGTGGAACTGGATGGGCTTTAAGGTCCCTTCCAACCCAAACCATTCTGTGATTCTATGAAATATTCTAAACAACATAGTAAATTATGTCATATTCAAGTTTCCCTAAGAAGTGGCCAGTCTCATTTTCTAAGTCTAAGTATGGTAATACTTCCTGTATATTTTTCTGTCACTGATAGGTGAAGTCACATTGTTGATAATCTCAGTACATACAGCTTTTGGAAGCGCTTCCTGTTTGGAGAACTTGTTTTGTGGGGGTTTAAGTGAATCTGCTTATTGAAATTTTTTTCACAAAATCCATACTTTGGAGGTTTTTCACATACGCAGTAACACACAGACACAAAATAAATGCCAAAAATGCATGTTCTGAAAAGAAACTGTAGCAAATTTGCTCAATAGTTTTCTTCCAAAATTGTTGCTAATAACCAGAAAATTCTATGAAATAATCACATCCCCTTGAAGTCAAGCACGTTACTCTGAAATTATATCAATGAAAATAAGGGAATGATATTTTCACTTAGTCAGAAACAATTGTATATCCTTGCAAGACTGCTGAGTTTATTCCAGAATGGCATAAACATAAATGAAAAAATGAATTTGGCCCATCTCCACAAGTTATTTTTTGGCCAAATTACAAATGGCATTTACATCAAGAGAATGGGGCTTGCTCACAAATTGTGTGTTTAGAGGGACTTACGAAATAGGTTAATAAAATCAATTCTCAAAGCTAAATTTGTTCTGACAATAAAAATCAATTACTTGCTCCAAATCAATATTTCTTGATTTACTGAAGTACAAAAATGTACTCTTGAAGTAAACACATAGAATAACTGCCCATTGTGAAAACTACCATAGACGACAAGCTTTCACTTTAAGCATTCACTTTAATAAATGAGTTGAATATGAACAGGTTTAATCATTTATTCCAATATCAGTTTTGATGGAAACACTTCTTATTAATCATTTTATGTTTGCTCTTCACCACCTTCTCATTCTTAAGCGTAGTATTCTGCATTCATAACAGGGGGAGGGAAGGACAGCTGGTGTTGAAAAGATTGTACGTTGTGGCAAATAAACCACCAAGCTCTGATGAATTTCTTCAATCTCATGCTTCACTGTGAGGATGTTAATCTGAATTTAGAAGGAAAAGGGCATTCGGTTGAGGTATTTATATGGTATACCAGTGTTCTCGGCACTATTTCAGCATGTACAGAACTTGGATGATTTTTCTTCTCAGCACAGATGATTTTTGGGTTCTTCAATTAGTTAATAAGGAGCAAATCGAGAGAAAATGGCTCTTCAGAGATAGGTTTATGAGTATATATGTGTATACACTCAACACTCACCATTGGTGCCAGGCTTTTAGCAGACACCTACATTAAAATCAGTTATTCCAGTATGTTTCGTTCTGATAGAGCCGGTCATATTTTTTGAAAATGCTGCCTCTGAAACCCTGAACACTAGAACATGACAAAGAGCTAAATCTTAAAGGCAAAACATTTTTCAGGAATATCACAAGGTGATGCTGGCCTTCATTTCTTCTGTGATTTTTAATATTCACCTCACTAATCTACAGCACTAATACTATACTAATGTACAAACTATTGTAGGTACTCTAAACCAGGGAGATAAGATTTGGTCTAAAATACTCCTCCTGACTTCTGGAATTGCTGCACTGCTGACTGCTCTCCGAACTTGCACCAGCAGCAAGCTGGCTGGGGGGGACCAGGGTCTCCTGGCCACAAGGCACAACAGGATGCTAAGGGAGGAGACTGGGGTGGAGAGGGAAAGAAGGAAGAGAGAGGCGACCAGCATTCTGTTTCACTGCCTGATGAATTTGGGCTCGATCCTGGTCTAGATCAGAGGTGACTCTAGGTTGCTCCATTTCTCAAATGTACACACTCTTGTAGTGTTCACTGCATCCCAAGGGTGTACAGAAATCGTTTAGTTATTGGTTATTGATGGCAAATGAGAGCACACAGGGTGGGTATGCCTGCCTGTCTGTCTGTCAGTATTATTTTCCTAACAGTAAATCAAAATCCTGGGCCGATTTCAAACAAATTTGTAGAGAAACAGCAGCCTTCACAGCAATTAAATTCCTACACATCCCATAAAAAAATATTAATCCAGTTGGAGGAGAGAGACCTAACGTGCCCTTTCAAAAGGAAATATTGCAGCGTGAGCTTTCTTTTATTAAACTCCAGAGATTCCACTCAGGATCTAATAAATGCTCCATCCCCAGGAAAAGCTTCATTTGGTGCTTGGATCTTATTAAACTCCCAAGTCAGTCAGCCATGAGACGGAAGTCCTTAGGAAACCAGACTTCATTAGATCCAGTGTTCATAGAAGTTTTATTGACGTTGTGGGAGGTTTTGTGTGAAAGTAAAAAACACTTCAGCTCAGCTTGAGTGATAAGCTTCGCTTCTCTTCTGCCTCCATTGCTGTGGTGAGAGCTGGGGAGAGATTTAGGAGATTCTTCTACCATCTTGCAATTTCCTCCTGTATCTTTCCTCCCATGAGCAATATGTGGGCTGAATTTCCACCTCTCTCAACCTCAGGTCGTTTGTATCTGTGCGAGTGGCAGCAGTTAGTA